TATTTACGATTCTTTTCGTTATTATGTAAATATTCATTTTTGCATATCATCTTTCATGTATAGTGCTGTGGGCTACCAAACGACTTTCCACGTGTCAACGTATTATGGTTTGGAAGATGACATGTTAGCATTAGATTTCAAGGAACGCTTCTCTAATCTATATGTACAATGTGTTTAATGATAAATACTGCAAGAATGGTTCAAACAACATTCTCAATCCACGCCTAGGAATTAATATATCTTTTCTAAGGTTCCATCTTCGCAAGGCCAAAATGAAGTCTTAAAACGTGGATTCCAAGTGCACCTAACCACTTCTCAACCATCTGACACATTGTATAATCTATTAGGTTAGTGAGAGTCATGGGTCTTTGCCTATAATTAAATAGAGAGGGACATGTTCCATACTCCATGTTATCATTCTAATTTCTCATATATTCAAAGTGGTAGTTCGGCCACATATTGATTTGAGCCACAAATATTTTGTTTTCTCTGTACAAATCATGGTAGTGTATAGGTCGGACAGTAGTGGCTAATCTCTTTCCACTCCTGTTCAACCTATTGGGGGTGATTATAATTATGCATAAACATATATATTTTTTCAATTTTAATGGGTAGCAAATCACATTGTCATATTTACAAATATTGCAACATGGTTATGATTTTGCAAAAATGACAATTTAAAAAAAAAACATACACCTATATTAAGATATTTTTTATAATTCCCTTTTTACCCTCGTGTATATATATCATTTATGAACATCAATCGATGAGTGATAACATCTACTATTAGTATATTCTATCACTGAATGGCGAAAAGAAGCTCTTTGTTAACCTAATTCCCTCGCGGACATCAAAATGATTTTTCGGCTTGGAAATAATTATCTTTAAAAAAAAAAAGAAAAAAACTTAGAGTTAAAATTCTGAAACATTATAGTTCATGGACACTGTATATAATTTAGTGGATTTTTTTTAATTTAACTATCTAATCAAAGATATTTTGTCCGAGAAAAATAATCAAAAAGATAATTTTATTCTCCATTCTTATCCAACAAAATCAGAGGAAAACTTCATTCGACCCAGACACGTACTATTTAAAATATAATATAATTCACCTCCCCCTTTGAAGCGAGTCCGAATTTTCAGGCTTTGCTAATTAAATATATTTCCATCAAGTCCTTAATTTATGAGTTAAAATTAGAACTAATCAATGGGACGGGGCCCACATTATATTTTTCTCAACCTTTTTTTTAACCATCCCTGATTACACTTCCACTAATCTCAGAAAAAAGTAAAAATTACACTTCCACTCAAATCCCTATGACCTAAAAAATAATGGAACAAACTAAGCTGATGAATTAGGCTCAAAATATTAAAAAGTAAGTTAACAAACATACAAATCTAAAATATTATAAAACTGTAATTGAAAGAAAATATAAGATTGGAAAAAAAAAAGTCGTCTTTAAATTATTTATCAAATCATTAAATATAAAAAAAAATCGAAGAACCATGTCTCCTAAATTTTTATATTTTTTTTTAAATAGCTTCAAATCAGCGAATAGAAAAACCAAAAGGAGTTGAACATTTGTTTGGTTAAAATAATAAAAAGTAGAAATAAATGGGGAAAAAGGTGACTGCTGTCATCTTTAAATTATCTATTAAACAATTAGCTGATTACGTAAAATGACAAATTAACAACTTCAAGAAACAATAATGTCTAATCATTAATTAATAACGTGGTATTCGGAAAATAATAATGCTACCGTATCCTTCCGGCTGCTGTACAATCAATAATTAATTGAGCAATTAACTCTTCAGTGGTAAGTAATTAAGAACGATAATATTAAATTAATAAATGAAAATTACGGGTAAAGGCCGTCTAATGTAACTGCAACCTGGCACATGACGAAGCCCTCTTTTACAGCCCGAATTTTAGACGCCAGCTGCCAAGCCCAGCCCGCCAGAAATTTAGTTCCCTTTTTTCTTTTTTCTTTTTTTCTTGTCTTTCTTGTCTTTTAAATAAATTAAGATATATATATATATATATATATATATTTTTTTTTTAATATGGTGTGCGGAAATTTAAACTTTATACCTTAATAAAAATGAGTCCACGGCAATTACTAAATATAAATACTCATTAATTAAAGATTCTTTTACAATATTATTTCCCTGGTGTCACAATTTTATTTTTGTCCTTTTATCTAGTTATTTGTGTAATTGTTTATACTTTTTTCAATTTTCACAATTTTGATTTGAGACGTTGTTGTTTAATTTTGACTTTCAATAGATAATGTCTTATTCTATTGCCTAATGGATACTTCAATCAATTTTTATTTTATTTTTCAAATGATGATACTCAATTATCAACCTATGTCTTTTCTATGCACATTATTATAATAATTTTTTCTTGTATGGGTGGAAGTGTGATTTGAACATCCAATTTTAGTCGATAATGTTTATGTACTTTAAATATCTCATTTTAATGTTATATATATTAATAATTATCTCATTTTCAAAAGAATCACAATTTGAAAAAATAATAATAATCAAGCAATAAAAGTGTAAATAAAAATTATTTTTTCAATGATACAATATAAACTTTTAAATGATTGAATATTTTATATTTTCAAAAATTAATATTATATTTTATCATACTTAATTCATACTACCTCTAGTTTTAGGTCAACTAGGTATATGCATCATAAAATATATGTGATTTTTTTGAGTGGTCGTTTGTGCAACGGAGTTGGTTAAGGTCAAACATAGTCAATGTATGACAACTGAGATAGCTTGAACAATTTTGACCATGAAAAAATATGAACAAGAGAGGCAAACACTTCGATACTAAAGTCAGTTTAAGCTCGACTTTGATATAGAGTCTAAAATAGAACGTGATACCTGATACGAAAGTGACGCTCTTTATTTATAGGGTGTGGATCCCACCGACCATCTGAAAAGCAGTTATTGGTGTCATCTCAAAAATCGAGTTTGTTAGGTGCTTCTAGTCGAACCTCGCTGCAGGCTGCAGCATTTGCGGCTAAATAAGAAAGATCGATCCCGTTTGAAGTGATTTTCAGGTAAGATCTTAACTTATCTACCTCCTGGCTTTCCCGTGACACAAACACAGATGATGGGTTATATACAATGGATTAGATAAGTAAAAGTTGTAAAATCATTGTGCAATGGGGAAAATGTTAAATATTAGTTTAGAATACTATTGAAGTATTTCTATTTTTAATTAAACAAAAAGAATATATAGCATCTTATGGATAACCTCATAATGGCGACTGTGCGGTGCCTCCACAAAAATACAAAAGGCCAGTTCGAGCCGACGTCGTTTGACATCAGATTGAAGATGATGGTTTATTCCATCTCTCTCGTCTCACTATTTTTTTTTTCCTGAAAAATTCCTCGTCTCACTATCAATATAGAAATAGTTTTGTATGAGATATTTGGACATATATGCAAATTTATATTTAAATAAGATAAAATGGTTAGTTTAGCGAATAAAATAAATTCAAAATTATATTTTAAGGGAGGGGTATTTAAAGAGTTAATATTAGGATAATCATTATCATGTCGGAAAAATGTTTATTATTTTAAAATATTCCATTATGTCATGAAAAATGATCAGCTCAACAATTGCATAACTACTTTATCTACTTTTTCTTAAAGATGGTATTAAAAGTGCTTTATCTACATGTTCAATTTTCTACGGACTGTATAATAATTTGGAATATGAAAGTTTGAATCTCCGACCTTAAATAAAAAGGTAGATGTCATTTATCGTCGAATAACTACATTTAGCTTGAACTATATTCGAATTGGCAAAAGAATTATTATATTTAATATTAAACGAGTTTTGAACTATAATTAACGAAACAAGCCAGATATTAATTTCAATCGACGATATTTTTATCTGCATTTTTATATGTCCATGAGTTTAAGATCAACGTTAAGGTGAATCGACGTTTCCATAGTATCGTAAAAAATGACATAATATAAAAAATATTAACAAAATATCTCTAATATGACACATAATATTAATATTACTAAATTCTAACTTATTTAAAATGGTGTAAAATATTTATTTGTTATTTTAAATACTTAATGAGTTTTTTATTTTTAGTTTCGAAAATATTCATCAACTTTGACATTTTATTGATATTTCTCTACCTTTAGAACCTTATAGAAACTAGATGGTTTCATGATTTAGAATAGAAAAATAGTAGGCAAATCTCATAAACCACTCATAAAATATGATAGTTGTTATAATTGTACCATTAAACTTTCAATGATAAAAATCGAACACTCAAACTTTCATATGTGAAAAAGTTTGATCCCTAAACTTAGAAGGGAAATAAAAATAAATAAAGTAGCATACCTCTAATCTTTTTTAAATTGTAGAGTTTTATTTTTTATCATTGAAAATTTAAAGGTACATTTTTAAGTTCGAGGATTTAATGTTTCCTACCGATCTAATTTTTCATTTACAAAAATTTGGAATTTAATTTGTAGTTTCGAGGTACAATTGTAACACCTGATTATTTAACAACTAAAAGAAAAAAATAACAAAGAATAATTGAATCCTTTTGATGACGTGGAATCCTCATGATGACATGGGCAGGGGTGGGCCCACAAAGTGCATTTGGTCACCAAATTTTGAGTACAATACAAAGGAACTTTCGCCGTTAACCTTCCCGAACCTACGAGAATTACCAACCAGCCGCCGGACACGACTTGCAGCCGTGAATTTGACCTGTTTTCCTACCGTCCACACCGCGTACGGCGCACGTGCCGCTGTGTCGGTGGGCAAATTTTAAACCCCTTCGTAATTACCATAAACCCAGGATTAGGAGTGTTAATCAAAGCGAGCACATGGGGAGGGAGGGGACGAGAATCGAATCCTCCAAATCGTCAAACGAACCAACGCCTGGAATTCAACGCCCAATCTCCACGTGTCGTCATCTTATTGGCCATGTTCTAAATAAAATACAAATCACACCATTTTTATTTTTCTAAACCCATCTCCATTTGCCCTGTTTCCAGTTCTCTTCCTCCCTTTTTAATCGTCCCAATACACCAATCTTCTTAGATCATTTTCAGCTCAGTTTCAGATCAGAGCTGCATCTCCCGCTTCAGCCATGGAGGAAAAGGTATCTCCTTCCCCATCACTCTGATTCTTCTTCTCTGTTCTAAAACTTCACTCTGTATTTTTCTTTTCCGGCAGGTGGTGTTAATGGCGTTGAAAGTCGACCTGGATTGCTCTCGTTGCTGTAAGAAAGTAAAGAAAATTCTGGGCAAATTTCCTCGTACGTCTCTCTAATCCTTCCTCTGTTTAGTTCTTCATAAACAGGGGAAGAGTAAAACTTTTAATTTTACACAATTAAAGGCAATTGTAAAACTTGTTCTGCTCCTGATGATGATGGAAAATATAAAATTAAATGTGGCAATTTTCATAGATGGGTTATGTTGAAATGATTAATGTTTTGATGGGTTTTAATATGATAGAAATTCGAGACCAGATTTATAACGAGAAGCAAAAGACGGTGGTGATAAAAGTGGTGTGCTGTTCGCCGGAAAAGATAATGAAGAAGATTTGCAGCAAAAGCGACGGATCCATAAAGAGCATCGAGATCCTCGAGCCCAAGAAGGAGGAGAAGAAGAAAGAAGAGAAGAAAGAGGAGAAAAAGGAGGAGAAGAAAGAAGAGAAGAAGAAAGAAGAAAAAAAGGAAGAGAAGAAGAAAGAGGAGAAAAAAGAGGAGAAGAAAGAAGAGAAGAAGAAAGAGGAGAAAACAGAGGAAAAAAAGGAAGAGAAGAAAACAGAGGAGAAGCCAAAGGTGGTGGTGCAGGCGGTTCAAGGGTATCCGCCGCCGCCGTACGCGGTTGGCTGCAGCTCATGTTACGAGGGTCGGCCGTGTTACCAATACCACGGCTACGGGATGCCGGCGGCGGTGGCGGCGCCCTGCTACGTCGGAAGGCCGATCTACGACAGCTACGGCGGCGGAACTGGGAGGGGATATTATGTGGGCCCTTCTTCAGCCGATTACTACAACCCAGAAAATCCAAACGGATGCACTGTCATGTGAACTGTGAAGTGAACGCCACGACTTTCGCTACCGACCCATGTTCATAATTATCATCTTGATGCCCAAATTACGAAAAATTTGTGTTCTTTTTTTCTTCTCTCTTTTCCTCTTTAAAAAATAAGTTCAATGGAAATATGGAAGAGTACTCTGTTCGTTTAGGAGTTGTCTAAATTGAAGATTCTATCAATGGAGATATTAATGTTTTGTTTAATGGGGACATAGTTTATGTTTGATTGTCATCTTGATGCCCAAATTACGAAGAAAATGATAAAATTTGTGTTTTTTTTTTCCTTTTCCTCTTAAAAAAATAAGTTGAAGGGAAACATGGAATGGAATGGAAGAGACTTTGTTCGTTTAAGAGTTGTCTAAATTGAAGATTCTCCCCATGAAGATATTATTGTTAATTTAAATTTATGTTTAATTAAATTAATTAAAAAGGGGTTAAATTGCAATTAAATACGTAATAAAGAGTCAAGTAAATGTTGGACCAAACGTGATTAGGACGTCACAACTAGATTTCAACAAGACAAAGCTAAGCCCACTAAACCCACACATTTACGTGTGACCAAAGATGCTTTTTCTGTTTCTTTCAATTTATTATTAATTTCTATAAAGTTTTTTAGTATTAATATGATGAAAAATAATCTACACTTATTCGAAGCATAAATTGATTGTCTGTCAAAGGCAAACTTCCTTTACACAAAGGAGAGAAGGGAAGGAGTTCCTACTTGTGTATGTACTTTTTTTTATTTGATTAAAAAAAACTAATGAAGGGGGATGTAAAATCAATCCATTACCGACATTATATTCATGGTTAGCGCATTCATCATAGTTAGAAACTCTAGCTCTGTATCAATATGACGATCGATATTGTCATTATCATCAATAAGAAAATCTTTAGGTTTGTTATCTAAAAACTTGTTTAGTAACGAAAGGAAGATTGGGGGTGTACTGTTGCTAACGATTTGACCAAATAGAATTGTCAAGTTTCTATAGAGCTTATCACTAAAACACCCCTAGAGAGAGATTAGGTTAAGCGGAGCGAAAAGAGTTTTTTATGAGATGGAAAATGAAAACTATTAATCTCACACGAGGATTTGAATAAGTTGGTCCTTAATTTTTAAAAAATATTAAATTTACTCTTAATGGCATGTCACTCATAAATGTTAGTTTTATAAATTTTAATGTGGTGAGTTGAATTTTCACATGTCAAGTTGCATTCATGTTTTAAAGAAAATATGAGAATTTTTAGTACATTAAATAAAAAATTTATAATTTTAAAAGATTAAGTATCAAATTGAGAATTATCCAAAACAGAGACAAGCGGGGTACATTTAGCCTAAAAGGCAAGTATAAATTTCTTTGGTAAAAATGATTTATTATATAGATGGATTTTTTTTTTCTTTGCAAAGTATATAGATGGACTTTTGATAACCAGAAAGAAGAATTATTCTCAAAATAAAAAAAAAAGGTCAAAAACTTGTTTGAAAAGTTTGAGCTTTATTTTCTTATTACGCCATTTACATTTTAGAACAAAAAGACACCTTCCTAAAATTATTATTCTATGAATAATGATATTTTTTGTGTACACAATAATATAACATTTACAAATCGCCCCATCACAATAAAAAAACACACACACACAAATTTTTCAAAGAAGCTAATTTCCACCAAAAGTAAACAACCATTGAAAACAAAAGCTATGTGGAATAAGATAAGAGGCACCCATTTTCCATTTTCAATTTCCACCAATGAAGAATTGGAAATTTTTGGCACAGTCTTGGGCCAAGCTACATCTTCTTTTAGACCAAAAACCGGCCACTACAACAAATAATTCTAAGTATTTGATTAATCAATCTTCAGAATCAAAGCAAAAATTAGTAGAAAAAGTCCACCATTTGGCATTTAGATTACTAATTAATGTGGATTGAGAATTGTGATGGGTGGCACGTTAAACAGTGCCACACCAAAAATACTAGTTATTAACAACAGAATCAGAGCGTAATTAGCATCATTCATTTTTGGCCAAATGGGAAACTGCATCTGCTGCGAGGGAGAACAACACTTCAATTTGAATTTGGCAGCTGCTTATCAGGGCCTGAAACTGGCCATCACCAGTTCCACTGTCGTCCCAGAAGTTGCCCCTGAGCCTCCTCCTCCATTTCCTCGTATTCGTGAGCCTATTAAGCCTGCCACCATTGTGGTCAGCAGGCAACAGCTTGAGTTGCTTTTGGCAAAATCCGCCAAGTTTKCCTCTACAGGCATTGCTGTTCGATTCTCCGATAGTTTCGAGTTCGATGAACAATGCCCTCGATGGTGCCCTGCCTTGCCCACCATTCCGGAGGTTCGCAGTTTCTAGTTCCATGAAATTTGGTTGAATTATAAGTTTAGGATTATGTCTATTTTAGTGAAAAGTTTCTAATACGTTCACAAACGTTCATGGTTATGTCTTTTAACTTTAAAAACGATAAACTTATCAAATACATAATTAAAAGTTTAAGATTTTACTAGAAAATTTTTAAGTATAATGATTAAATGGACACCCTCTTTGTTGAGAAAATTTTTAAAGTATATGACTAAATAGACACAATTCGGAAGATTGGATGGGGTGCTAGATTTTGGTGATATAGAGAAATATTTGCTACAGAACAGACCCTCCTTTGTTCTGGAAGAACAAGCTTTTTTTTACATGCGTATTGGTCTGAGTATATAAGATGACATCAATTATTTACTAAAGAAAAGCTCAAGCAAATAACATTAATGTGTACTTAGCAGGGAAAATAATTGCTAAAACAAACTTATTCCTAAGCAGCTGTAATGGGTCGGTACACTGTAATTTTGTATCTACATAAGAACAAGAACAGAAGAACCAAGAACAAGAACAAGAACAAGAATTGATTGATATAATCAAGTTGGCTTCTGGATCAGTTTCTWCAATGCTTTTTCCTCTGCAAAGTTATCAAGTTGATAGCCTACGGCTATAACAAAAAAGAACCAATCAGTACATAAATGATGAAAACTGAAAAGAAAAAAGTTGAATAGAAATATAAATTCTAAAATGATGTTGTCTAAAAGTTAGAACCTTTTGGAGTATAGGATCCTGGCGTTTTTCTTTTCTTCTGTTTTCCCTGCTGCTGCTGTTGCTGCTGCTGCTGCTTCCTTTTCCTTAACTGCTGCTTCTCTCTTCATTTTCTTGGACTCTATTTCCATGGCCTTTGTTAGTGCCTCAACCTTCTTCATAAGCATCTGTTCATAATTTCATCTCATTCATGAGAAGACAAAGCTAGAGATATAGAGAGGAGGGAGAAATAGAGTGGCTGGATGATTGACCTTGATTTCTTCATCTTTTGTAACCAAGTTACCATCTTTCACTTCACATAGCTTCCTCAAATTGATGACCTCCTTCTGTATTTTGTCATACAGAAACCCCGAAACCGTATCTTCGTTTTCGGAGTTCCTCGGTTCTTGATTGGTTTGGTCCTTGGCTTCTTCAGAGGGTGTTATTGTACCGTCAGTGTTTTCTTTGTTTTCCCTCATTTCATTACCATCTTTTTCACCAATATCAACCACTCTACTTCTACTAGAAGCCCACATACTCTTCTTCACCACATTTTCACAAGCCGAAGCGTATTTCTTCTTCAAGCTATTCGATCGGTTTAACTCCGGAGCAGAGGCCTTTTCATCTTTTGCATTTGGTTGCACAAGAATGCTGGAGTTTTTAGTGATGGCTGAAGGCCTTGACAGTGAAGTCGACCTCTTCCTTCCATTGCTTGTCAAGAATCCTAAGATGTTATTGGATCGTTCTGTTTTTGGAGATCCACCAAAAGCATTGCTATTCACTGGGGAAATTGACACCTGCTTCAACCCTTCTTCCAACGTTTTCAACCTCAGTTTGAATTTTTCCTACAATTCGATAAAGACATGAGCAGAAAATGAGAGAATGCCTCTTTGTACTAAACATAAAAKTGAGATCATGTATATTGGCCACCTTGAGTTGTGCTTCTGCCTTGGCTGTTCTCTCAGACACAGCTAACTTCTCCCTCACTCTTTGCAACTCCGCCTACATTTCGTAGAAAATGGAGAAGTTAAACCGTAAGAATGCAGAACTTTTAGTGAAGAACTGTGAGAAAACACAAATCAAAAACTCAAGTTTTGCCAGTACCTGCAACAGTTTTCTCTCTTCCAGCCACTGCTTGACAGGCATAACTCTGTCATTATCATCCTTCCACTCATTAGCCACCACGGTAGCGACACGGTGTGCAGAGACTTTAGCTCTAGCCAATTCTCTCTCAAGAGTCCTCTTCTCTTCCTGATAATTTGTTCCAAAATCAACAACAATGAATTGGCCGCTTGATAGAAAGTCAAAGAACAGTTGAGCTTACATGTAATTCTTCGATCTGTCGCTTGTAATCTCGAACCATGTTGGCTGTGGCTCCTCCAGCTAGAATGGCCTCCTCTAGATCCTCAATGGTTTGGCCAAGTCTTTCGACTTCAATTACTTTTTGGCGATTGGTTTTCTCCAATATCCGGTTCTCTTCCTGCTTGTAAATCCAATAACATGGTTAGTYTTCCTCCAAAATGCAAATGAGTTATGTGAAAAAGATCTTGCCTGGCAAATTTCAATCTGTCTCTTGAGCTCAAAGTTGTGGTTCTGAACTTCCTCAACGATGAGAGCTCTTTCAAGCGCGCTTCGGAGAATCCTCTCCGCTTCGAGCAGTGCTGCTTCCTTCGACTTTGTGAGACGCTCCAAAGCTTTCTTATCCTCCTGCAATAGCAAAACCTGTAAAGGAAAAAAACCAAGACAACTTTGACTTTCACTCAGACATGTATGCGTTTTGGTAACAAGGGATACAGATATAATTTATGACAAGTTTCATGGATCACCTCATTCTTGCACATTTTGATTTCGGCTTCAAGAGGAGCAACGACCGATGCAAGGGTGAGAGAATCATCATCTTTCTGATTTGCATATACCCTTCTGAGAGTAGCTTCAGCAGCATACTGTGCAGCCAATGCATCTTTCTTCTCAGTTGTTATTCTCTTGATTTCAAGGTTCTGCWCATTCATAACTTGCATTACGAGCCTAAATAAGTTAGGAGAAGTAAAATAAACTCCAAAGGCAAACCACCAACCTTGTGTTCAAGAAGATTTTCAGTGGCTCTAAGCTTGTCATCAAGCTTATCAACTTCACTTCTCAGCTGAGAATTAGAAATTAAAAACAGAGTACGGTGTTAAAACATGTTGAAAAATCATTCCCTATCTGTAAAATGAAGTGATTACAGATGATTCAAGCAGTAACCTCTTCAAGAGCTTTATCTTTCAGAGCTTCTGTAGCTCTCAAGGCCTTGATTTCACTGTGGGCAGCTCCCAGTTCCCTGTTCTTCTCTGAAAATATTTTAAAAAAACATCCATCAGAAGTGTAAGACTGGACTGTGACCTTAAAATCGATAAAATAAGATAAAAGTGCAGCTATTTGATCTCTTCTTCTTATTTTTCCTTTTACTATACAAAACATTATCTGAAACAACTAGGAAAAGCCACAGTTCAGTTCCTGACTACRAAAATAAAGGTTTGAAATGTTCTGAACTGTGGTTAAAATGCCTTCCCTAATCAGTTTCTAAGAACATTCCAGTTGATTTCATATAGACAAAATGAAACTCAGATTGAACAACAAAAACCCACTGGTTGATCTGCTCAAGTCTGACGAGTTTACTAGAGAAAGTCAAGAGCATTTGGCAAGCCCTCCACTTCCACTGAAAGAACAGAGCAAACCACACACACACACACACACATATATAAAAGGGGAGACCCASATGTTCAAATGAATTCCACAGCTCTTCCCATGAATAAGAAGGATTTAAACAATAATGGGGTCGCTCAAAACAACTGATCCCACAGCAAAAATCTGGTCTTGCATCAGAAAGAAAGCACATTCAAGCATAAGAAATGGAAAGGGAATGTGAGAAAAAGAACCTGCGAGTAGATTCTGCAAACGGTTGAGCTCCAACACAACAGGGTCAGGATGGGGAACAGAAACCTCTTCTCTGCCAACATGCTCCTCGTAACTCACCATGTTTGTCTTTATAACAGTAACCAGACCACACGATTTCCAAGACACAGACAAACAAAACAAAGGTTGGATATTTATTTATCGGGACAAGAGAGAAAGAATAATACAAAACTGGGATGGAACTGGAACTTGAAGGGGAATGTGGACTGAGCTTTTTATTGGGAAAAAAAAGAAAGAAAGAGTCCAATGGCTTAAGGAATTTACCGTAAATAGAGGAAGAAGAGATATGGCCAAGTGGGGTTTCCCCATTTCAGTTAAGCAAAATTTTCAAAAAAACGCAATTTCCTTGCCGGCTTCGCCGGCTCCTTCCCTCCTCCTCACAGTAACKGTCACTTTCCTTTCTTGTTTAAATTCATAGGATGATTTTTTCCTTTTAGAATCTCCAACCCCTAATCTAGTTGATTACAAAAAACTAATTATGCTTATTAAACTCTTTGAAAAAACGCATCTTTTCATTAAATATTATCCGTAACCACTGCAACAATCTAATCGGAATTTGTATATTTAACTTAGAATGATTTTATCTCCACTATTTCATTACCTAATCTATGAAAATGATTGCAAAAACCAGTCTTGTGGAATAAGATTCCACCTCCTGTGTTTGATCTTGAGCCGAGTGGATTTACATTTGAATCAAGGGATAAGATGGGGGTGGTCATATCTTGTTTGGAGTTGCTTCAGCGCTAAAATTTGCTTAAAATAAGCCTTTTTAGGCAGTAAGTGGAGGGAATTCACACAGAAAAGTTAATGTCATTTATGTGATGTTTGAAAATGGATACTAAGGAAAAAAACAGAGGAAGCTGTGATTTGGAAATGAAAGGGACAAACCAAAAGTGGCTTGGAAGATTAAACATTATTTTTCTGAAAAGAAAAAAGAAAACCTTAACAGGGATTACAAAGTAATTCATTAATTAACTCTTCTTTGCTTGAAAGTATAATAATTAATATTGAATCCCACAGAGAGAGAGGGAAATTAAAGAGTAGACATTTGGCAAAGGGTTTGTTTAATTGGGTTATGCGACAAAGGGAAGAGTTGTTCAACAACAACCACTCTCTTTACAAACCACAAACCTAACTCTTGAGTTCTGAAATATACCGACAAATTAAAGACCAAAATTTTGGGGATTTCGGGAGTTTTAAGGGATTTTGTTTGTATAATAAATAGAAAATAGACAAGTTTTGGCTGTTTTTGGATGCATTTTTAGCCCAAAAAATCATTTAATTTAGACATCTAAAAGTGTGTCTTCTATAAGCAAATATTTGGTTGGAAGTACAGTAATAATTTGGAGGAAAATTTTTATTTTTTACCCACATGTTAATTGGGTGGGGTCAAATTTTAACTTTTAACATTTTAATTACATCAAATTTAACTAGGAACTTAATAACTTGTGAGTTTTTAGTTTTAAATTTTTATCTTTCTAGCTAGTTGTGACTACTTTTCATTTTCAAAATTTATCTCAACTTAAAATTTAGGATGTAATTGTTAAAATAAGAAGCTTAAAAGGTTTTCAAAGTTATAAAAATAATGTTTAATTATTATACTAAATAAAATTTATCAGAAAAATGTATAAATTTGAAGAGATGATTGTCCAACTAGAAAGTTCTAAGGAGATATAGTTTTGGGTGATTATTATTATTTTTTTCCTATAATAATTCATTTGATAGGTATTCTATAAATGAAAATAAAAATTTGAAGACAGGAGTGCTTTTCTTTTTTTTTGAGGTTTTATCCGCTTACACAATAATTCATATCGACAAAGATAAGTAATATCCATATGATTATAAATTGAAGACCAAATTAGAGGTTGCTTGGGATGGAAATAATCTTGTCAAAAACGTTCAATGGTTATCAATTAATTGGTAGTTGATATTGATATGACCATTAAAATATTTATTATACAAAACCTGACCGCCATATAATTTCTTTTACTGTTCATTTTCTGTGTTAAATATTTAAATTTGATCATCAATTTTTTCCCATAAGGATTGCAACTTATTTATAGGTCAATCTTGTGAATCTTGTAAAATCAACCATACAATAAGGTCATCTGAAACAAGATTCCACGATTCAACATTAAAATTAACGAACAAAAAAAATATTAATTAATTTGATTAGTTATAATTTCTTTATGAACCATTGTTTTTTATTTATTAATCTACAAAATCAATAATTAAAAAATATATGTTTTTTAGAGTATTTTTCAAAATTGGGACTTTATTTTAGTACAAAGAAAATGAGGAGATTTGAATTTTGAGACTTGAGGGGATAAAGTAATGTTTTGACCTATTTAACTATGTTCATATCCGCGTAGAATTTCGGACTTGAATTACTCATGATTCTACCAAATTCGAATCCTAGGAAGTAAGAAGCACATTTTTATAATATTTAGAAATATATTTTTTTAAGTTTCATTTTTTAGGTAGAAGAATCTCGCCCATTTATCTTTTTTAATTCAACAATTGTGGAGCAGACATCAAATCATTAATTTTAGGGATGGTAATAAATGACTTATCCACCTAAATAAATATGTTGGGAGGGATAAAATTACAGTGAATCTAAACGTAACTAAAGAATTAGTATCATGTCTTATAATTTCCCTCCAAATTTGAATTGCGGTAAAAAAGAAGAAGAAAAAAAGAAAGAGCCGCATGAACTTCAGTAAAGTGCAGAACATTTGTTACAGGCCCAACAAATGAAGAAGCCCAAAACTTCAAAGTTGGGTTTGGCGAACGCTTCTACTGTTCGGTGAAATCGTCTGGACGAGCAGAGGAAAAACACAGGACTGGAGAAAGAGGAACACTACAAATTACACTAGCCAGCCGAGGTGATTTGAAGTGAACTGAAGAGGAATGAGGGATTCAGATTGAGGGGTTTAATCACGGAACTCCTTCTATGGTACGTATATTATTCTGGGTTTCTAGATTTGAACTCAATTCAGCTCCAAACCCACTAAATCATGCTTCTATTTTCCTTCGACTGGAATTCTTGTCACCTCTGCAAATGAGGGTCATCAATAGATTTAAGCTTTCTGCTGCAGATTCCACCTTAGATTCTGGAATTTTGATGTGTAATTACAAATATTAGCCACTGTTTGCCAATGACATCCATACCGTCGAAAAACGTATGGATTCGACGGCAGCAATGCCCTTGCGGGGATTGGAAATGCTATATCTCATACGAAGGAGAGGGCGAGGAAACTTCTGTTGCAGCCCAGTTAGTGACGTCCGAAAGGGTGTGTTCTGAAGCCATGGTCGCCCCTTATGTGGGGATGGTGTTTAAGAGCGACAATGATGCGTTTGAGTATTATGGGAATTTCGCTAGAAAGAATGGGTTTTCCATTAGGAAAGAGCGATCGAGACTAAGCCCACAATTGGGCGTTTATAAACGAGACTTTGTTTGCTACCGTTCTGGATTTGCACCTGCTAAGAAAAAACCCATTGGGGAGCATCATAGAGATAGAAAATCGGTGCGGTGTGGATGTGATGCTAAGATGTATTTGTCAAAGGAAGTCAGCGAAGGAGTTGCACAGTGGTTTGTAGTGCAATTCAGCAATGTACATAACCATGAACTTCTGGAAGACGACCAAGTTCGCCTCCTTCCTGCGTATCGCAAAATTCACGAGGCCGACCAAGAGCGCATACTTCTGCTTTCCAAAGCTGGGTTCCCCATTCATCGTATAGTGAAGGTATTGGAATTGGAAAAGGGGATTCATGGAGGTCAATTGCCTTTTTTGGAGAGAGATGTCAGAAACTTTGTTCAGAATCGTAAGAAGATCGTTCAAGAACACGATGCATTACTAAATGAAAAACGAGAGATTGATACAATGGAGCTTCTGGAGGCTTGCAAAGCCACTAAGGAATCGGATGAAGAGTTTGTTTATGACTTTACGGTTGATGCAAACGATAAGGTTGAACATGTTGCTTGGTCATATGGTGACTCTGTTAATACCTATGACATGTTTGGGGATGTAGTCTATTTTGACACTACTTATTCTTCAATCACATATGGGTTACTATTGGGAATGTGGCTTGGCATTGATAACCATGGTAGAACTATTTTCTTTGGTTGTGTTTTGTTGCAAGATGAAACGCCTCGTTCATTTGCCTGGGCTTTGCAGGTATATATATAGTATATTGCTCTCTTTGTTGTTCTATTTCATCTTAGTTTGTCCTACTCTGAGATCTCGTGCATCTTCACCTTAAAATTACAGACCTTTATTCGATTCATGAGAGGAAGATTCCCACAGACGATTTTGACTGATCTTGATCCAGGGCTTAGGGATGCAATAAGAAGTGAATTACCTGGCACTAAGCACATAGTTTCTAGATGGAATATTTTGTCAAAGGTATCTAGTTGGTTCTCTCTTCATCTTGGATCTCGTTATGCAGAGTTCAAATCCGAATTTGATATGCTGTATTCTGTGGAGAATACAGAGGATTTTGAAATTCGATGGGATCAAATGGTATCGATGTTTGGCCTTGTTTCGGACAAGCACATTGATTTGTTATTCACTTTTCGGGAATATTGGGTACCGTCCTTCATAAGAGGCTGTCTTTTAGCTCGAATGGCAACATCAGCCTATTTCAAGTCTATCGGGACATTCTTGAAAGGAGTTTTTAATGCACAGACATGTTTGCGTAGCTTTTTCGAGCAGGTGGCTTTCTGGGAAATTGAATACATCCCTCGAATGAATATCTTTTGTACTATACAGTCCTTTGATTTGTAACTTTTGTTATATCAAATTCTTTCAGGTTGGTATCTCAGCCAACTTCCAAAGCCACGAACATCAGGGGATGCAGTATTTGCAAGTTAAGACAAATATACCTATCGAAGAACACGCACGAAGCATCCTCACTCCTTTTGCCTTCAATACTTTGCAGCATGAATTAGTGTTGGCAATGCAGTATGCTGCATCTGAAATGTCCGACGGATCGTATCTTGTACGCCACTTCAAGAAGATGGATGGAGAGCGTCTGGTGATGTGGATTGCAGACGGTGAACAGATTCACTGCTCTTGTAAGGAATTTGAATCCTCGGGCTTGCTATGCAGACATGCTTTACGCATATTCATTATCAAGAATTACTTTCAGCTTCCTGATAAATATTATTTAGGTAGATGGAGGCAGGAAAGCTCTCTAGGCTTAAGTGATGGTCATGGTATCCAGAGTAACAACGGAGATTGGTTTCATGAATATCAGCGCCTTACTGAGGCTCTTTTTGCAGAATCTTCCATCACCAAGGAACGTTGCGAGCATGTTCGTAGCGAACTAATGAAAGAGATCACGAGGATTCTCAACGAGATTAGGAGAATGCCTGAGAATGATGGGACTGCAGCTATGGATTTGACAGATTCTCCAAATGGTTAATGCTTCTATAAAGGGATTGCTACAAATTCAATACTCTCCCCAACTGATTGTCTTATCTGACTTCCATCCTCAGTCAGTTGTCTGAATCAATCCCTCATATCGAGATATGCATTCAGATTTGCAGAAGTAAGACGGTGATGGATGAACGATGTTGTATTCTCTTCTGCATTCTAAGAGTTGGGGTAGTAAAAGAAGAGAACTACATGCTTGGAGTTGAGTCAAGAATATTTACGAGATGCAAAATCATCCTTTGACTTTGAGGTCACGAGCATCTGAACAATCAAGTTCTGTATGATCATTTCTCCTAATGACTTAAATAGACCTACACTGACCCACCTCTACAGCTTTATAGAACTTGTACTGAATGTTTTGTTCATAGTTAGATGAATGGGGCAGCATTCTTTCTTGAATTCTGTATGCATAAAGCGAGTGTTAGAGTGTTCTAAGCTTTTTAGTGATTATTTTGGGAAAATTTTGCTTTTAATTGTCAAAGGAGACACCAAATAGTCATTCAGTGGTTGAACCAGGGCTTGGAATCTTCCCTTTTTTCAATTACAATAATGGGATTTCTTCCACCTGTTCCCTGGAATCCCGCCCTGTATTCCTTAGATTCTCTTCCACCATTCCCCACCGGCGATGGAAGTATTTCTTCCGTCACCGGAGTTCTACTTGTACTTACTGGGAAAGAAAGGAAAGAAAAAGAAAGTACTGGGTTTATTATACAGAAGAATGAAAAGGAGATTATATTCTATTAGACAAAAAGCACAGAGAGAAGACATGAAATTCTTCTGGCCATAGCATATGAACTTATGTTTTAGTAGGCACAAGCACAAAAACACCATTAGTTTTTTCCATTACAACTCCCAGAACACAGTAGAATCTTTATTTTTGAGTTCCTCTGGAGAGCGAGACAGAGAGAGAAAATTGGTGTATAATTTAGAACTGATCAGGCCATAGGAATGCGCCCATGGCGAAGGCCCTCTTCTCCTCCAAACTGCCTTCAAAGCCCATCCCGTACTGGTTGAGAAGCAGATCCACTTCCCATTCCTCCATCTTCTGGTAATCTGCCTTGTTATAGCGAGGGTAATGAAGAGGCATTTGAAACCCAGAAGCAGAATTGCATATTTCTTCACAACCCTTTTTCCCTTTTGGAATTCTCTCTTCATCTGATGTCTTGACACCTCCATTAGCACAAGCATGGACCTCATTCAGAAGATAACATGCAGAATGAAGCAGCCATTTTAAGGCCATGGCCATCTAGAGAGGAAACAGAGAGAGAAATGTTTTGAAGGTTTAGAGGCAAGAGGGTGTGAAGGGAAAGCAACCAAATTTATAGGCAGGGGGAGGGAAATAATTACAAAACTGTGCTGGTTTTGGTGCGGAGAAATCGCCGTCAAGCAATGGTTGTTTGGAAGGTTAGCATTGGCTGATGATTTCGTGAAGCAGTTTTCAATGGAAATTTTGAAATGGCCATTTTAGAGGAATGATTGAGAGGGAGTTGCGTAACTAGATTCAAAGTGGGACGTCATGGTTCAATAATGGCGGTTAGTGGCTTGTTGTTGAAGACAGTGAAGAAATTAAGGTCAAATTGGCTATGTTTGTTTTGTTTGTTTGTTTTTTTTTTTTGGCAGAAAAAGGTTGGGATTTGCAGTTATGTTAGGGTGAGGATTTTTTATAACGCATGGGGGGAAGTGGAAACTTTCACATATTGATTGTGAAATTTGTGGTGAGAAACCAAGCCAGCAGTTTTACAGAGCAAACATGGTGATGTGAAACCTTAACTAGACAGCCATTGTTGAGCTGCAATTGGTGTTTCATTCATTTATTGTTTTTCTTGAAAATGGCAACTCTCTAGTGGAGAAGGGAGATACAAAATGGAATTTGGCGTGGGTTCGAACGTTAATCTAACTATTTAAGTTATGATCAGATTAAATGGTAATAGAATTAATTATATGATTCAACTAAGAAACCTGAACATTGTTAGCAAATTTTCTGGCCTCATGCTAGAAGGGAAAGAAAAAAGAAAAAAGGAAAACGAAAAACTATAAATATTTAGAATTTTAGTATGGTACGAGTATGACAAAAAACTCCCTCCCCTCTCATAAATGGCATGCGAGTAAATTAGGGTGGGGATGGGAAGGACGCGTTAAACAATTAATAACGTAGAAGGAAAGAGAAATCTAGAATAATAGGGGCAATTTAGTAATTTGATTCAATTTCATTTTTGACATTTGTCACAAAGAGGAGTAAGGTGGCATCTGGCATGGATCTAAACTCATGCATATTAATGCAATTGTACCTATACATAACAACTTCGTAAATTTCACTGAAAAATACAATTTTGGTCATTGAAATTAAATAAATATCTATTTGATTTTTTAAAATTTAAAATGGACATTCTCAATCTTTACATGAGTTAGTTAGTTAACTTTAAAAATGAGGTGTTGATTGTAATAACTCATGTGACAAAAATATATTAATTTAATAATATTGTTACGGTAATTGAATTTTTTATTTTTGCTGGAGAGATAGAGAGGGAGGTGGTAGGATTTTGAGAGAGGGCAAAATAGGAAAAGAAAAGTTTTCAGATCTTCCCTTTCACATCTTAAATGGAACTAGAGTGTTCCTCTTCCACATCCAAACGGCGGGCTAGCGACAGCAAACAGGTGGACGACGAGTAAGTGGCAAAGAAGATTGAGGTTCGTCGGAAAATGGGAAGAGAAGGAAAAATAAAATAAAATAAAAAATCTCAAATATTATTTAATTAATATATTTTACCTCATTAATTACTGCCGTAAGCAATTTAACAACTCATCTTAAAGTTAAAGTCAAATAAACATGTCAAGGATTATTTATAACCATTCTATAAATGGTAAAAAAATCATTTTATAAACTTCGACGACCAAAAACATAAGACAATTTTATCAATTGTGCCAACAATAACTTTCACTTATATTTCTTTTATTTTTTATAAGGAACGAGTAAAATGAACTCGTTAACGTGATCCACCTTAATACAGCTCGACTAGTTGATATATATCTTCAAATAAAAAGTTGGAGGTTCGAAATTACCATCTGATCTAATGTATTGTTCAATTTAAAAAATTAATTCAATATTTTTTAAAGTGTATTTTAGAATTATCTAAAAAGGTAAAAAGTACTATACTCTTCATACTTATTCAATAACGATTTTGGCATTTTCTTGTAATTGTCACTAATAAACTAAAAAAGTACTAAAAAACTAATAAACTAAAAAGAAAAGAAAAGAAAAACGAGTTACAACGAGATGAAAATCATTTCTATTTTTAAATATCTATATTGAAAAGAAAAAAAAAAGGATTTTATTTAGTTTTTTTATAATAAATTTGGGTTTTAAATTTTTTTTTTTTACTACAATAAGTAGGTGCGGGTTTAAACTCATAATCTTTTGATTAGAAATATGCACTTTAACCACTTGATCTATGCTCGGTATGTGTTTTTAGCTTGTACAACATTCCCAATTAGCAAGTATTCATTCACTTGCACAATGCACCGCCAAACGAATTGGTTGGGTTGTGCAAGGACTTCCATATTTATTTCCTTCTAATTAAACTATAAATTTAGTTTCAATCTTTGTACTATTGTCCATTTATTTTTAAGTATTATGTCTATTTGATATATGAATTTAAAAATTTTCAATTATGTTTATGCAAAAGAAATGCAAAATTAAAATGTAGCATAATTCAAATTGTAAGTTACACTTGAGATTTTGTAACTTCACAATGGACACAACAGTCACGAGAAAATTTTAATTTGTACCCATAAATTTGATCATGTTAGCCCATTTTTGTTCTAAGTTCTTAATCTAATCAAATTGAATATAAGACTTGAATAATTATTGCTTTAGATTTTTATTTGAAGAATATTTATAAGATGTATATATTTTGATGAGTATATTTATAAGATATTTTAGAACTTACAAATTTGATTAAATCCATATGTAAATGTAATACTTACACTAAAAAAAGGTAGAACATTTATCTATGTTTGTAAAATTATAATCACCCTCGGAAACTGGAATGATGTATAATGAAGTTAAAAAATAAAAGTAAGCACTATGAAAATTAAGTTAGTCTCAAATCTCAATTGAACAATCAACTTCGTACTTGCATAGTGAATCAACCCTTCATATATTCATAGACAAGAGTGGAACCACTTGTTGGCCACTTAGCACGTCAAGTAAATCACGGTGTGGGGAGTTATAGAATGGGTTTAAGGTGGTTTTGTTCCTTTGAATCTAGGCGTCTTTTTCATAGGACTCTAAGAAGATTTATAGGCTTATTGTCTTTCCCGTGACACATGGCCATTGTCGTTTTATACGGAACAACAATGTCGATGTTGAACCATAGGTAGATATAAAAACTGATGAACTTTATTCTTAGAGTAAAACTATGGTTTAAAACCTTGCATTTACATCTGAGGTCCAATCAAAGTTTGATTAAAATGCGTTGGGTCTGATTGATTGACCATCTCCTCAACCTCCTCAAATGTGTGTTGAATGTTGAATGTTGAATGTTGATCAGAATCTTAGATTGGTGTGTTTTTGTGTTGACTTTAACCTCTCTTTCTGTCTCTGCAAATTCAAATAAAGAGCTTCTTTATGTTTGAAAGCCACCTGGGAAGTGGGAAGTGGGAGTGGAAGAAGATTCCATGCAGAACCCAGATCTTGATCTTGACTCAGCGCCGAAATCACAGATACATACACAGACGCAGACAACTAAATCAATGCTTTTGGCGGCGCCTCTCCATAAAAAGGAATCCCCTGCATTTACCTACACCCCATTAATGGCCGTCCTTTTGCTTTGCTTTGTTTTGTGCATCCCCTCTCTAGAAAACAGAGCCAAATTCCTTCCCACTCTCTCCCCCATTTTGTTCAAGGTAATGTCATCGAAAGTCCAACATTAAAAATCACAACAAAACCACTCTGTTTTCTGTAAAGCACTCCGTTGGAGCCTCTGTTTTTCATTTTTCATACAATTTGACAACTTAGTCAACCAGGTAGGAGACAAGACATCGAGTGGATTTGAATGTGTTTTGCTTACACGTGTGTCCATAATGTAAGCATCCCTTTAAGTTTTAGATTCCATTCCCCCTTTTTACTTTACATTACTTACTCTGCCTCTGCCTCTGCCACAGCCTCTGCATGCCCCTTCTTCATTTGCATGCTTTTATAGCACTGCCATACCCACCAGATTGAGGCTGAAAGCTTATAGCTAATACACAAAGAAACAGAGTGGACGGACAAGACTTGGACAGCCATGAAAGGTGGTGCTTTCCGCAGCCCCCATCGCCCTGCCCCCACATTTTGCTTCTGCTTCTGCCTTGCATGGCTTCTTGGTAACTTCTCTTTCTAGTTTTTCACCTCCAACGCACAAATTACTCTACCTTTTCACCGTTTTTCATGACATCAATCACTGTTTTATTCATAATGGAATGCAGTCTTCGAATTTGTTCATTCCAGAGCTGTTGAGGAGGCGGAAGATCAAAGTGGTGGCATTGGATCAGAATGTTCCGAGGGCGACATCGAGGTGTTTCAAGGCCAAACAGCTCCTCTTCCGGATGGGATTCCGGCGTACACAGTTGAGATATTAAACGCCTGTGCTTCAGGCTGCAGCATCTCCAACATTCACCTCAAATGTGGGTGGTTCAGCTCCGCCCGATTGGTCAATCCCAGAGTTTTCCGGAGACTGCAGTACGACGACTGCCTTATCAACGACGGCGACCCTCTGCCTCCTGCTCAAACTCTGTCTTTCCAATATGCCAACACTTTCCCTTACCCTCTCTCTCTCGCTTCTGCAACTTGTTCTAATTAGCAACCCCAACCCCAACTATATGTTGTCGTCTCATCATTTTCTTTTCTATCAATTATTCCATCATTTGCTTCACATTTAAATGAATCCATGGTAAATTCTTCTCATATTCATCTCATCATGACTTCCATTTTAGAATCAATTACAAATATTCTATCTTCAATTACTTCGTTTATCACACTTTACATGGGTTAAATGATGAATTAGACTAGTAGCAAAGTTTCAAATCAGTAATTCCTCAAGTGTATTGTCAATCAAATTTAACATTCTTCGACAGGAAGTGTATGTAATTATAAAATGTCAAAACATTAGAGATTCAACAGCCTTTTTTTTTAATCTAACATGAACTTTACGAAATTCTCGAACGCATTGGATAATCAAGTAGCGCATACACTTACAGAACGAAATCCCAAAAGCCAAAACAGATAAAGTGAAGATTTTTGGGTGGTCAATAGGCATAATCATAGGAAAATTCAGAGACACCAACCATGGCAGAGAGCACCTGGGAGACAATGAAAATCCCACCCCCAAAAATAGCCAAAACAAGAACAGCAGAAATTGGGTTCTTCAGGAGCTCGAAAATGGGCAGGAAAATGGTGTAAAGAGCACCGGTACTCACAGTAACGGCGTAAATTGCATATCTTCTCACATTGTCCCAAAATTCCTCCACCAACGGCCCTTCGGGGCCCAAAGCCGACGCCGTTTGGGCGTCGCACCCCATCAGAAACAGGACCACGCCCACCGAAACCGCTCCCACGATCAGGACCCTTGACCCCTCATCTGGGTCGATGATCTTCAAATCCGACGGCTCAGCGATTGGTCTGGATTTCGCCGGCGGCGCTGAGGATGCGAGTGGCCGGCGACGGCGTCGGAGGGGCGGGGCGGCGTTGATTGGGAGTAGACGGGGAGAAATTGGTGGGTTTTTAAAAAGGGGGAAATTTGGGAAGTGGATTCGAGATCTGAAAGAGGTAGCCATGGTGTTGAGTCAGTGGATCGAGTTGAAGCCAATATCCGTTTTAAAATATGTTATCCAGAATCAATGAGTAAATTAAGATGTGTAATTAGTGAAGGATTAGTGTGTTAATGATAGTTTAAGATCATATCGTTTGGGTTCTAAATGGGGAATTCGTGGCTGGGAAGAGCCGTCGTAAGCGTATGGTTTCTGCTCTATTTGAGCTACTTTTCAAAGAAAAAAAATAGCACCATGTTTCTCTTTCTTTGAAAAATTGGATTAATTCTCAAAAAAAATTTTAAAAAATCGAGAATTATTATCAAAATTAAAGAAGTGGAAAATAGAGGCAAACCAGTTGTACTTGTGTATATCTATTTTTTGTTAATATTTTGATAATTCTATTTTAATTATTTTCCAAAAGTGTAGCACTGGAGTCTGGAGCTTGAGCTTGGGGCTATCTTTGTTGATGACGTCTCTTTTCAAATTGGGTCTCAATTCAAGAGTTATGATATTGGGCTTAATGACAAGAAAGGCCCAACGTAGTCATGAGTGTAGCCCATGTTTCATTATTTTATTTATGTTTTTAATTTTTTTTAGTTGAGTATATGTATAACACATGTAGGGTGGGGATTCTAACTTATTATCTCTCGGTCCAATCTCTTTAATTTAATTTAAATATGGTTTGCAAGGTTTAATTTACTTGAGATTATTTTCTTTCTATTTGACAATGAATCACTTTTTTTCATTAATATTTAAAGTAAGAAATTTAGTACTTGTAATTTTAAAGCCAAGTAGATGTATCTTTTTACAAAGTTGGAAATAGATGACTAATTTTTTAAGCTTATGTGTTGATCTGATCCGCATGTAATTTTAAACTTTTCAAATAAGTAGTTTAACATTTTACTATGTATTTGAAAGATCCTTATTGTTAACTTTGTTGGTTTGCTTATGTGTCACACTATTATTTATTTATTATTATTATTATTATTTAAGATTACATGATGAATTGATTTTGAGCATATTTAGATGTTTGGTGGCGTAAACATTCCCTTAACAAAGCTCATTCAGAACATATTAGAATTTAGAATCTTTTTAAAGCGTGGAAACTAGATAGATCACAAGACTTTGAAAAAACTCAAAGAAGTATTAAAAGCTTTTTAAAGTTTAGGGACTTAACAAATGGAAGAGGATTGATGAGTGATCAATTAAGAGTCCATTTATGATAATGTTCTTGATTTTTGTTTTTTGTTTATCGTTTCTAGTTTTTGAGAAACACATGTGTTTGATAATTCCTTCATGTTTCTCGTTCTTCATTTTTAAAAAATATTTTTAAAATTGTGTAGAAATTCTGGAAACAACAAAAATGTTTCTTATTTTTTGTTTACCCTTCTAACTTTTTTTCAAAGGGATAAGTGAAAGCATTATTATGTACCATTGATTTATAAAATGCATAATAAATATTTAAAAAAATAAATAAAAGGTAAATTTTTTTAATATTTAAGTAAAAATAATAATTTTCAAATAAAGCTTTAACATTTTTTTTTAATTTACATATGGAGAAAATAAGAAACAACAAATAGTCATCAAACATGTTTCTGTTTTTTTTTTTTTTTTAAGAAACCATGAAACAGCTACAAAGAAATGAGAAACAAGAAATTAACAAATAAGAAATGAGAAACAAAAAATTAAGAACGTTATCAAATGAATTCTAAGTAATACTTTTTTGAAGCGGAAAAATGTGTCGTTGAGATAATGAAATTGTATTTTGAAAAGATGTTTTGTTTTCCAAATAAAAACTACAAAAGTGATGAAGAAGAATATGAACAAATATAACATTGTGTTTGGTTTAGGGTTTAGGCAAAAAGATTAGGTAGCAGCACGAGCAAAAGTAAGAGAGGCAAAGAGACCAAATCGCCCCCAAAAATATTGGCCGTGTTTCGTCAAATTCCAATTCCAAATCCAAATCCAAATCCAAATCCAAATCATAGAGAGGAATGATTGGTTCAATTCTGTGATACTTTTGATATATTTGGCTGATCTTATTGTTATTGGTACTGACCACTGGTGGGGCATTCTATTGTTTCTTCCTACGTGCCTTTCTCTCTTTTAATTGTCAAAATTTAAAATTTCTACCGTGGTCAGAATTTTTTCCCTTTTTTTAAACAGCCTCAAGGTAACTCTCTTGTTTGAGTTGCTTTTTAAAGGCCTACCAACTACGTACGTACTTCCCAACTGAGATCTCTATGTCTTTATTCGTTTTTGACGTCCCAATTTTTTTGATAACACCAACTAGGATTTCATTTCATCAAACTGGCCAGTTTTTTAGGTTACCATAGAAGATATCAAGGATCTGCCGCTCTACTTTATTTAATAATCACTCCAGCCGTATTTATAAACTTAGATTAAAATACAATCTAGTTTACTGCCCTTCCAAGTCGTAATTAATTTTTTAGAATAATGCAAAATTTTATGCCAAAAATTTCTGACTCCACCGCACCCAGCCACCCACCCCGGTTGTATATAGAACGTACGTCAAATGGGCAACTTCTAAGCGTTTCATGGACAAACAACTAACAATTAAGTGACCATTCAACACATGTTTACAAGTGAAGAGAAGTATCAACCTCGGAGCACGAGTCCGAATCATCAATATTGTCGTCGGAGGCGGTGCTACGATCATCACAAGCATTGATGGCATCAGGCGCTGGCCATAAGTCGACGAGCGGCGCCACCTCGGCGCCAACCTTGTGGGGTTGCGAGATCGGGGAGAGGGATAGAGATGTCCGAGGTGGGGCGGCGGCGGCGGTGATCATCATCAACTCCGGACGCCAAAAGAAGGTGCCAACGGCAGTAGGAAAGTGGAGGAGGGTGTGGGAAGAAAGGGAGAGCAATTTGAGAAGCTCCCTCTCCTCCCTCATTTGCTTGACTCTGTGGAGGTCTCTGAAGCGCTGTTGAAGCAGAGCAATGGAGGAGGGAGCAACAAGTGGGCGCCGGTCAATGTTGTTCATGTTTGTTACGTGTTTTTGAGTAGTCGAATTTAATTTGTTAATGGGGTTTGTGTTTTGTTGTTGTATTTGGATATATAGGAGATGGGGGATGAGAATCGGCAGAGGAGGGGGAAAAATGCCAAGGGGAAAGAGGGGGGGGAAGGGGGAAAATCCAAGAGAATGTAGTTAAAAAGCACATGGAAGGGTGTGTTTGGAGGAATAATAGGTATTGGTGATGCTCTGCCACTTTGTCTCCCAAAAAGCCACCTTTTTTTTCTCTCTTTTCTTTGTTTAAAATATAAAGGTTTTAACTTTGGAGATGATGGACGCCCCTAGGCCCTGCCTACCTCCTAAATTATTTTGTTTTGGTTTTAATTCGAAAGAGATGGGGGCGGTGCGAGGAGGAGCTAAAAGACACCTACTTCAAAGGAGATGAGAATGAAAGCTTAGGAGGGAGGGTATAAACAGTACAAAGAGATCTCCTTGAAAGAACTAGCAAGAATCTTAATATCTTCAATCCACGAAATAGCAACACTTTGCCGATCAGTATCTCCCGTAATCAGATTTATAGCCTCCAAAGAGTTTGATTCGACGTAATTTTCCAAAGCCCTAATCTCACAGATCACATAATTGTTATACTAACGAAGTCTTTCTTTTTTAATACAACATGTGAGGTGGGAGTTCAAACTCTTGGTTTGAGATATATGTCAGTTACCGCTGAGCTATGTTCGTTTTGACGTTGTACTAACAAAGTTAACACATTGATTTAACGTTAACTTGAATGTAACTCAACTGGTTAAAATGTCACGACTTCAAATCTCCACCCTCACATGTTAATGTATTAAAAAAAAAAAAAAAAGACATTGACTTAGCTAACATGAACTTAACTTAAAGGTAAATGATATCTACCCATTTCTTTGAGATAGGAGATTCAAACTCCCATGCCTAAGTATACAGTGTTGCTACAATCATGAAAGTTAAAAGGAGGTCCAAATAAAAAAGAAAAAAGAGTTTATATATATATATGAAGATAGTTTGATTGGAACAATAATGTATGACAAAGACAAACATACCAACATTCGAATTTCTCTCTCTCTAAAAAGCAAAAGGAGTTTGTGTGTGAGAGAATAGGTGTTTTTGTCCGCAAGCATTTGGCTGAAAATGGCATGCTCAACCCAAAGCTGCAGATGCCCACACAAGCTGCTGGATTAGATGCTTCTTTTCTGAAACCACTTTCAAAAGCAATTCTATTATTTTTCCCCTTTTTTTTGGGGGGGCTCCCAAATCTGAAAGATTGATAAGAAATAAAGCATTTTCTTTTTCTTTTTCTTTTTTAACCCTCCATTATTATTGTTGTTAATTTAATCCCATTTTTACTTTACTAACAAGACCCCCTAATTGAGGATACTTCTATGTTAACTGCCACTCAACCACTCTTACCATATATAGGGATTTTAATTTCTTATTTATGTTTCTTTTATCTTCTCCTTTTTATTACTATTATTATTATTATGATCATTATATCTCTTTGTTGCAGAATGCAGAGGTAGTGGACCATGCAGAACAAAAGGGGGGAAATTATTGGGATATTTCTTTTACTTTTCCTTTTGGTCATTCAAATTATAAAGTTTCAGTAGTCAATGTCATGCATTTTCAAGCTTAATTTATACAGCTTTCTGTAAGTTTCCTTTTATCCTTTTTCTTCCTATCTCTATAATTTGATTCAGAATTCAAATTTGCTTTTCTTGCTCTACGGCATTTCGGCAAATAATACAATCTTAGAAGTGAATTTCAAAGATTGATTTTTAAAACTGGTTTCTCTTGAGATCTTATTATGGAGAATAGATGGTTATATTCGTAGGATATGATCAGGAGAGAGGAGGGAGAAATATAATCATTCCATGCCTAAATTAATTTTAATTGCTTTAATTTAATATTTATTTGTTAATTAATTGTGCAATATAAATATTTTAATTTAATTTAATTACTCCGAGTTATTAAGTTTTCTCCATATCCAAGTACAGGCATTATTATTATCTAGATATTTAACTCCCAAATATCTAATATTCA